AAGCTGCAGGTGCACTATATACCTCTCAACATGCTACTGGCAATGTCCCAAGAGCATCTCTTCCCATATGAGCCCTGATATAGGAGAGGGCCCCTGCGCTAGGGAGATCAGCTTGGCAGGGACCTAGGAAGAAGGTCTTTTCTGCCATGTAATTTTGTTGTTGGGGTTGTATTATTTGTTTTGTTGGGGTCAGGGTGGGTTATTCTTTCTACCCAAGTGCAAAATATGTAAACAGCATGTCAGTACAGATGAGTGAGTACAAGAATGTGCAAATCATCACAATCCTTAAAAATACACAGAAACAGAAGCCTAGTCATTTCTCAGCTGCTCCTTCCATATAAAGGCAGTTGCCTTTATATATGTGTATGCTTCACAGCACATGCATTTTATGATCATGTATCTGTACCAAAGAACACAGCTAAAGCGCAAAAGGCTGCCCTGAGAAATTTACCCAAGCCTGCTGGCACGCTGAAGGTGCTTTAAGACATTCCTGTTCAGGCATGCTCTAATGCGGTCTGAATCCTGTGGGTCTATATGGATATGGATAAATGCAGGAAGCCTCTTTATATGGGGTGTGCAACCTAATTTGGTCCTGATGAGTGCAGGACTAGCATGCCTTGTAGCACCCCCCCCGCATATCAGTATTGTGGAGAATGGAAATGCTCAACTGATCCCCCAAATTACAGCCAGCTCAATGTCCCCGAAAATGGTTTGCTCATATCGTGGCGCTCTCCTCTAAATATACTAATTCATCAAAGCTTGGACAAGTCCGTGCTAGACAGACAATTACTGCTATGATTCTAGTATCAACATTTTTGCTGAACGATCATAAAATTCCCTTTTAGCCCAATGGCTCATCACAAATGCATTTGGCAAATCCGTGCTGAAGGAAAATATGTACATGATGAGAGACACACCCTCCAGCTGCACAGTATGGACAGCCACATTCTTCTCGGATCAAAGAGTAATTGCATTATGGATTTGAATGGAAGCAAAGGGCTCATGTCAGAGCCATCCGTTTTTTACTCCTCTTCTCCCATCAACAAAGAAGCGCAGTATAGAATCTCCAGTTTATTCCGCTGGAGAACAATTAAGTTCTCTATTTTTTTCACACACACACACACACAGTAGCCGATATTAAAGTTCTGTTTACATGATTATTTGCATGCTATTCGGTATATCATATATATAATGGGTATATCATATATAGCCATTAGATTAGAGCCCCCCTCCCCCCTCGCTCTTACTGTAAATGGACATATGATCCCATCCGCAATCTGGCTTAATAGAGGAAGCGAGAAACCACAAACTGTGCTGACTAAAGGACCAGGGATACACCAAAAATGCAAGATAGACTGACGGTGCAGGGAACTTGGGGAAGGGCAAAGCTTGAGGGAGAAAGGAAAACATACACTCTGCACAAAAACAGATTTATTTTGTCGTGTTTCTACCTGTTGCATTCCATAACCCTTTTTTATTAATAGTTTCAGGGCTACTTCCTAAGGCTCACTTAGTAAAAGAGTTCATGTTTTGAAGGCCATCTGCAAGAAACAGTACTGAAATCCTATCAAGCATAACATTATGCCTTTTGAATTTCCAACTCAACAGTCAACAAAAGAAAGTTCAGAGAGGGACTTCTTAATCAAGTTCCCAAACTCACTCCAATTTCTGATTTGTTTATACATGTGAGAAGCAAAACAGTCCCTGGCAAGATAAGGGATGGCTGACTCACATGTTCATCATTATGGGATCAGTGGTCATGTAAACAGTAATATGGCTGCTATCTTGGGTTGATGGGAGTTCCCAGATGCATAAGAAATAGTGGCCTATGAAAAGCATTGCCAGGTCATGTCCCTGAGTTCTTGCATGTGTCTCAATACAGTGGGAGATGGAACCATTGCAGGTCGCTCCATCCAGCATGTTGCCCAACCTCCTTTGCCATCTGCTGTTGCACCAACCTAGAGTCATGATTACTGCAAGACATGGATAATAGACGGTAGGGAGAACAGGAGGGGGAGCTGTTATGTATCACCCCAAAATTTTAAAAAGTGTAAACATATTCCAACTTTCCTTTTGTAAGCAGTATAGTTCTATTTGAGCACCATAAAGATCTGGTTCCTTGTGCTGCTTGACAATCCCGTCAAGAAATCATTTCCTACAGCCTAAATCCAACAAGAAGTTAGGTCTGCTTAAGCCCATTGAAACAGAAGAGCTTATGCATGCCTAATGCTATGCTAGATTTAGCGCTGTATCTATTCCCATTCTGTTTGACTGTTCTTCTATTCTATTCAGTCCAACTCTAGGTTGGTGCCTGGTCTGCTTGAAATTGCTCTACATTTTTAATTTTAATGTCATTGGTTGAAAGTATAGCCTTCCCACTTCCGTTCACAGAGAATTTTTTCTTCTTGCTTACTCTAGTTACTGGATCCTGCTCTCCGCAGTGGTTGGCTGAATTGCATATTTAATATCCACAAAGGTTGGCTGGATTGCAAGCTAAATATCCACACTAGCAATGAACTTTGGGACTGGCCCAACCACATGACAGAGTGAGGTAAGCACCTCAAGTAGAAGATTTGAAGGTTTCATGGAAGGACAGCAAATGGATAGTTTATTTAATTTATTGCTATTGTATTTTTACTGCCAGGGAAGGAGAGAGGGGCTTGTGAGGTTTCCTGTATCAACATAATTTGATTTCAAAATAATTTTACCAGACTTGGGTACTGTGCACCTTGACTGATGGAGGGAGCAGCCATATTTTCTGCTCCATTTTAGGCTGGCCCTGTTTCCAACTATGCAGAAATAGCAAGCACACTGTTATGGTAACGTTCAAATTGGTCCTAAGTCTCCATTGGGGTAAAAATCCTAGTTTTAAAAAAAGTGGGTGGGGTGGGGGATAGAGTTTTCAACCTTTCCCTGAGAAATACTCTGTGCCTTTAATTTTAGCTAAACACTCTTTTCACTATATGATACTGAGTTTTTAAAATGCTGCGAGACAATGTCATTTTCCACCTCTAAGGAGATACTTGGTCACATAACTTTCATTGACCCACTTCTGTTTCCCTGGAAAATTGTTGCTGTAGTTCCTGCATTTGTCTAAGCATATCTAGAAAATTACACTTACTGTTACTGCTGACAAATGTAACAGTCGTTCAAGTGAATTTAGCTGTCTGGAGTCTTCCTTTAAAAAGACTGTTTCATTCCGCCCTCCGCCCACCCTCCCCAAATTTCATTTTTTCCTGGAGCTTGTGTGACCCCGTGGAGGTTACACCTTTCCTGGAAGACTAGCAGGCTTCAACTCATGCCTGGCAGCCAGCCAGCACTGCACACATTCATAATTAGGTGCAGACTGCCCCTTCCAAGAGGACGTGTTGAGGCCACTTTCCTAGGGTGCTTTATGCAAGGTCTATTGAATGCTAACATCTGCAGGGACAGGCATCGGACTGATTTGAAAGTCTTCCTCGTGCGACTGAAGGGGCTGCAAACAAAGGCCGGATAGTTTTGCATATGCTTGATCTACACAAACCCATGTAATTGTGACAAAACAGGCTTGCAATGTCTTTCATACATAACAGTGTGAATCATTTTCTCTACAATGAAATGATCTCCCCAGAAAGCACCTCTCAGTTTACCATCAGTAAATTCAAAAGAAGAGAAGAGACCACTGTGCTATGCAGTAAAAGGAATAATCCCAGGAAAAGGGATTATCATGATAAATCTTGTGTCTGATTTACATGGAGGTGCTACAAATTACTAGGAAACTCAAGTTTAGTTAAGAGCAAACAGACTGGGTCACCCAGTAATCTATCCAGTCCACTAACTTGCCTCTGACAACAACCACATCCATTCCCCATTCTCACTAGCTCTTTCCAGACTCAAGAGGCTCCAGGAATTCAAAATGCTACATAAAAATGGATGCCTTGCACATCCAGTAGTGCTTTGTGTGCCCACACTGAGAAAGGCTTCTCATATGTGGCTGCATGTTTTCCCCAGAAAATATTTTTATGTCAACAGAACATTATTGAGACAACATTATCTAAGGACTGTTTATTTTAGGAGATGAATGACCAGGCGTACAAATTGATTTGCAAATTTGGAATTCTGTTCTTCTGCCAGAAGGAGTCACATAATCACCATCTTTCAGGGAGATGCAGGTCAGAGCAGCAATTTAAAGACACAAAGCAGGTTTTAAGAAGGTCCCTAAAACTTGCAAAGCAATGATTTAGGGGTACCAGAGGCAGTACCAGTTGCTGGAAACCACAGGAAGATAAGAGTGTTGTTGTGCTCAAGTCCTGTTTTTGGATTTCTCAGAGGCATCTAGTTGTCTACTGCGAGAACAAGATGCTGGACTAGATGGGACACTAGCCTGATCCAGCAGGCTCTTCTTATGTTCTTATATAAGGGTGGATCAGAAGTCACACTGGAAGTAAACCAGTGTTAGGAAACTGACTTACTTGAAGCATGGCCACTCTAACCCAATACAGTATACATTGACAGGCATCAATTCCCTAGACAGGGGGCTTTCTCAGTCTTAGGGGCAGATAGTTGGAATTTGAAACTGGGACCTCCTGTATGCAAAGCATGTATTTTACTACTGAGCAATGACCCTTCCCAAGGGGAAAGGGAGAATTTAGGATAATGTGCTGCCATTCGTGCAGTGTGATTGACTTCCTCTGATCTTGGTTTATCCTGCAAGCAGGATAGCAAACCAAAGTCAAAATCTGGTTTGTAGACCTGAGTTGGAAATGGCACACAATGGTTTGCTGCAGATTTCCTAGAAAGGAAACCCCAAAGTGTCTTGTGCTTCTCAGGGACTTGATAGACCTCTTGCTTTTACAGCATGCCTGGTACTATGAAAACAGGGCAGCTGTGAAGCTGGCAAACTATGTTTGGCCTGCTGGGTAACAAGAAGCACAGGACACCTGCCGCACAGCACCCCAAAACCAACAGAGATCCATCTGCTTCACAGCACTGTATTTTCTTCAAACCCCTTTAGTACTTACGTTGATTTGCCGCAGATTTTCCTATGGTACCACATTTTGCAGTTTGGCAAGTATTTCTGGTTTGTTCCCATGAGCTTCAGCACAGCACACACATTGGGACTACAGGTAAAAGAGAGAGAAATATATATATTGAGTTCTCTATACATACCCTGGCATTCAAAGACGTCTTGTAAATAATAAGTCCTAAAAGAAGCACTGTATTTATAAAGAAGGAATCATTACTCCCACAGTTTAAATTTCCATGAGATCAGAATATAAATCATAAATGAAGCTGAAATGTGAAAGACCTTTCTCTTCACTAAGCCAGGTTAGATTTCCCCCACCTCTATTGCACCCTTCCTTTGAATGCATTCGAACTTTGTATATTTCCACTAGGGCAAGTGATCCCCTGAGTGAGTGTGTGAGCGAATGTGAGTTATAACTTAGGAAGAAATTTTCATCCAATTTAAATTAACCCTACTTCAGATTTGATGAGGAAAAGGATATGGAGGACAGCTGATTGACAGGGGCTTGGAAGAGAGCCTGCCTGCTACCTTCCTGCATCAAAGTTCATCACCCATGGATAGAAGGACGCTCATGGGGAACAGTTTACACACAGAGACAGAGACAGACTGGGGGTGGAGAAGGCTTCTGTGTGGCTTGACACAAATGCACAAGTGTGAAGGTTCCCAGAGAGGAGATCTTGGCCACTGTAAACTCAAAGGCAGATCCTGGCAACAGCCCATGGTTTGTGGGGAATGCGACAAACCATAAACCTTGGCTCAGATAACACACCATGGCTTTACGTCACAGCAGCAGGACCAGAGGAGCAAAGCAGCTTTCTGTGTGATCCTGCACACTCACGCATTTGCACAAAGCTATGGTTTTGGCTTAGCATTGCTTGTGAATAAGCTGACATGATAATGATGAAAAACACTAAGTAATGAGAAAAGGGCCTTTCCTTCAAGTAACCACAGCGGGCAAACAATAGAAGGATGAGCTACTTGCATGAGGAGTGCTTTTCTTTCCCCTTCACCCTGTGATAGGAATCTCATAGTGACATGTGTGAGAAAGAAGGAAAGAGCAAAATTGAAGCAATGATGTGGACTGAGCTGACTGCATAGGTATTTCATATTAAAACGTCAGCATGGAAGTGACCAGTTCCACCCATCTGTTTGGGATATTCACACACAACACGATGGGACAACAACAAAGAGAAATGAATCTTATACTACCGAGGGAGTGAGTGTGTGGGTGACTGTGAGTGAGGAAAGGTGATGATAAAACAGTGGCTAATGCAGGATCTAACCAAGATACAGAATCTAGTCCCTGTGTTAACAATGATACAGTGCTGGAATGGGATGTGGGAAGACCATATTGAAATCTTCACTTAGCTACAATCTTACTTGTTGGCTTTGGGCAATCATCTCTCAGCCTAGCCTACACCACCAAGCTGTTAGGAGGATAATAGGCTCCCCTAAACTCCTTGGAAGAAAGGCAGGAAACGAGCAATGTCAATTCCAAATACCTGATCTATGAAATAGAAACAGCATTTCTGGCTATCAGAACTACTTGCCCTTGATAGTTGTGTATTTAATTTCATCCAGTTGTTTCCTTGTTTTTAAGTTAATTTGTGGGTGGGTGGTGTTGTTTTTTTAAAAAATGCTAGTGGGCATTACCATTGATGGGTTAATAAGTATTATGATCTATCTAAAGGTCCCCGAGAGAAGGAATCCCAAAGCCCATTCACAGCTAAGCCTGTGCCTGCCTGTTGCTTCCCAACTTGCACCAGAATTCTCTGAATTGAATGCCCCTAAAAGGACCACACTTGTGACTGTTTACACACCAATGAAAAGAGCATCTAGAGAACTGCATTCTATCAACACTCGGATCCCTCTGACTGATCAGCTCCTATTGTAGTACTGCCTTTCTCAATCTGTCCCTCCAAACGTCTTGAACTTCAGCCTCCATCAGCCACAGCTACATAGCCAACCGCCATGGAGGATGGGATCTGTAGTGTAGCAAAAGCTATATAAATACTTAAAAAGGTAAAGGGACCCCTGACCGTTGGGTCCAGTCGTGGACAACTCTGGGGTTGCGGCGCTCATCTCGCTTTATTCGCTGAGGGAGCCGGCGTACAGCTTCCGGGTCATGTGGCCAGCATGGCTAAGCCACTTCCGGCTAACCAAAGCAGCGCACGGAAACACCGTTTACCTTCGCACCGCAGCGGTACCTATTTATCTACTTGCACTTTGACGTGCTTTCGAACTGCTAGGTTGATAGGAGCAGGGACCGAACAATGGGAGCTCACCCCATTGCGGGGATTTGAACCGCCGACCTTCTGATCGGCAAGCCCTAGGCAAGCCCACCCGTGTCCCCAAACAGGCCTTTTAGAATTTGCCCCCAAATAACTAAAGTGATTTGTTTCCTTTATATTCAAAGCCTTCCAGGAGGTTTTTCATTCCTGCATGTATCAGCTTGGCTTGATTCACATTTCTTTGGTTTCAGTATGCCTGAAGTCCCCCTTAATGCCATCCATCAGCCTTATTAAATTCACTAGTGGCATGAGCCTAAAATGTGCTATTTCAACAGCTGTGCTTAAAGAGCTTATATGTGTTCATGCCATTTAGGACAGATGTTAACCAGCTCTACTGTTAACCAGAAAGAGGTGACTACCTCAGGTAGTTGATTTTGAGTGTCATTTAGTTTATTATTGCTTGCATTTTTACTGCTAGGAAGGGGAAAGTGTCATTAGCAGGGTTTTCTGCCTCAGGTGCCAAACTAACATAGCTGACCTGGCCACTGAGCACCTTAATATTTTTTAAAAAAATTTTTTTTTGGGGGGGGGAGAAGCAACCACATTTATTGTTCTGCTTTATTTCACTTTATCTGTAGAACTGGCTTGGCAGGGGTGAGTTTGACAAACACTTGGCTAACTGAACCTTTGTCTATTTAAATGTAAGGCAAATGTTGGCAAGAACTGGATTGACTTTCAGTCACCTGAACACAATATTGGATGCTTTCCTTAAAGAGAGTGAGAGTGAGAGGTGCAGCCAGTCCATAAAAGGTGGGTGTAGGGTTAGTGCCAGTATCCTGTGCCTCAAGGGTAGCCAACCTTCAATTCATACAGCACTCTTCTCTACGCAAGAAGAGTTCTATGTAACTTGAAAACAGACTACCTGAACCATCCCTTGCAGTAAATGCAAAAACAAAAGGATACAATCTTGCCTCCTATTCTTTCAGACCTACCTAATGGAGAATAAATAACTGGCAAGAGAAAGAGCCTCACTCTTTTGGGAAGGACAGCTCATCTCCACAAGCCATTTGATCCCCATTGACCATAATCCAAGTGGATCCCCCAGCTTTTTAAAACTTGCTTTTTAATCCATGGATTGGGATTTTCTCTTCGTTTTCTAAATGCTTGCCCCTCCGACCATCCCTTAAAGGAATTACACCGGAACAGGAGACGCGTTTTTGGACCAAGAGCCATTTCTGTGGAACCCAAAATCTAAACAGAGATCTTAAAAATTAATCTAAACTCGAGAGGCAGCAGGGCGGCAGCGAAACACCTTCGGCCCATCAGGTGGCCGCTGCTTCGCGTTCCCCAAACCTTCGCACATCCGTTCTGAGGCGAACGTGTGGAAACCGTCTCCCGCCTTTTGCCCGAGCCAGGCACACGCGCGTCGCCGCCAGCGTGCAAGAGGCACCGGGTCCCGCGGGTTGGGTGGATCACCAGATCGCTCCCCCCCCCCCCCAATTTAAGCTCAGAGACTTACCCTTGATGCCTGCCCCGGAGCCGGCTGTGATGCAAGATCTGCTGGTAAGGGGTCCGAGTGGCAGCCCAAGAGACGCTGACCCACAGAGCCAGGGCCAAAGGCAGCAGCAGTCCCGAGCGCATCGTGACGGAGGGGGAAGACCCGGTGCGGCGCGAGGAGACGAGCGGCGGGACGGCGGAGTGAGCCGCTCCCCCTGTTGCGCGGCGGAGTTAAATAAGGGCGTGAGGAGCGAGGGGGCGGAGACAGGCCCCTCCGGCGGGACGGCGCTCGGGGGTGGGGCGGCGGCAGGCCAGGGGGCGGAAAGGCCGGGAGGCGGGTGGGGTCACCTGAAGCTGCCCTCGCGGCTCTCTCCGCCGGCCCCTCCAGCCTTCCTTCAAACTCCAGAGCAAGTTTTCCGCTCGGCCTGCCGGGGTCTGGTAGAAATCTCCGGTCCCTTGCTACCTCCCTTGCACACCCGCTACCTGCCGCCACCATTTGTTCCACTTCGGGTTAACGGCACCCGTTTGCGGATAAGAAGCGGACCCTGAACAGTTTTGCTTTGCTCTTGGGCCTTTGAATGACTGCCCCATGGGAAGCCCTCCACAGGGAGGAGGCGTCGGAACCGCGCCGTCGTTTGTCCCCCTGGGATGAAAGACAGAGGAGACCCCTCCCATTCAGCCAAGGGCTTGTGGGGGAACAGTAGGGGCAGTCTGAAGAGTGTGTGTGTGCTTTAAAAGGTGCCCCCCCCAAACAAACAAAACCGAAGTCTTCCTTTTAGGAATTCTAGGTGCCGAAATCCCAAGGGAGCAGAAAAGACTCTGTATGGGACCGCGGATGTTTTTGGCCCAGAGATGGAAAGAAGGTAAAGTCCCTACCGAAGAAGAATGGCAGATCAAGTTGATGGATTATGCCAAAATGGCTAAAATGGCCAGAAGAGTCAGAAATCAGGAAGACCAAAATTTTAATAAGGGAATGGGGAAAATTTATAACCTATCTTAAAAACCATTGTTAAAAGTTAACATCGTTAGTAGGTTTGGAATATCACTTGTAGCTGAATGGTGAGCTTTGGACACAATGGAGATGTAAAAGATTTGGATTATCATAAAAGATGCAGGAGGAAATGATTAACAATAGGACCCACAAAGGGAAGGAGAGAAGTCCAAGAGATTCTTTGGAATCTTGTTTTTATGTTATATTTGATATATGACTAAAATTTTAATCTGAAAAAGGAAATAAATATTTTTTTTAAAAAATTGTTGGGGTCCATTTACTAATCCACTGTGCTTTTGAAGAGTAGGACAGGGAGCCCCTTCTCCCTCCCCACATCCTATTTATTCATGATGACTTCTGCTCAGGATGATATCTGGGTGGCTCCATGCAATCCCACCTTCAATGCTGTGTGCTTGCAAAAGTTTTTAGGTAGACATCTGCTTCGTTTCCAGTCTGTGCATGCCCCATAACGTCCTGCTGAACTCTTGCAACTCTCGCAAACAGGAACTCATGGTTCAGCTCTCTTAATCATAAGGTGTAATCAAGGCTTTGGCTTCCTTGTCCTGAGTCTATACAATTGTGCAGTCTCACTAAACCAAGGCTAGGCTTGTCCTGTGAACCAGGCATTCTTTTGGGCAATTCAGTCTTAAGTCCTCCATCTATGAGATGAGAGTGAGAGTGAGACCTGTCTCACGATGAAGTTCTTGTGGGGCCATCAGCACAATAAAAGACTGGAAAACAGTTTGCAAAAGATACAGTCACATGCACCATTCACAATTTCTGTAGTGCTTTGTGCTTAGCAGTACATCTGCATGTCAACAAGGGTGATCTGGTAGACTACACACACACACAACTTACAAACAGTTTTTGACTTCACCAAAGCCTCAGTAGTAGACTTTAATCAAGCAGTGTTCTGCTTCCTACTTGTTGAAGCAGCTTGATTTAGAATTGTAGAGGGTCATCTACTCTAGACCCCTTTTGCCCAACATGGGGCTCGAAAACACAACCATGAGATTAAGAGTCTCATGCTCTACCGACTGAGCTATGCTCCTGAACATTCACCTCTACTACCTCCACTTATAATTGTTAGTAGGGAATTCAGCATAGGTGGCAGTGGATATACTAGATCCCAAGAGAAGTGGCCATTCCTGCCTCAAGACAAAGGGAAGGAAAATGAAATATGGGTGAGCAATGTTGACTAACATTTTAAAATTTTCTATTGCAATTGGCAATTGGTCTCTAGGAGTACGAACACCAAACGATTGTTTTCTGCATGATCATTTGGGAATACCTTTTTCGTTGTCCCAAGTTCTTGAATATGCTGGAAATAATGACTATTCACACGCAGACACAAAAATGCTTTTATACACATTTTCAAACCAAGAAGCAGCCAAGAAATGGCAGCTGTTCCAGTACAAGTCAGGAAGCTAATTTCTCCCAAAGGTATCACGGGGCCAAACAGAAGAAGCCTTTAGTGATGACAAAGCTTTATTATTTGGAAAGCACTCCCTCTTTTTTCCTTTCGCAAGCAAAATATGAAGAGCAAATGACTGAACATTTTGCTCAGGCATACTGCTGTTCTTGTTATGTGAACTGCATAGGACAGCCTCACAGTTGGTAGCCATTTAGGGAGAATAACTAGGACCTTTTTCATGGGTTTCTGCAAATAGGGAGAGCAGAGTAGTAGTCACCACTGAATTTGAAATCAACAACACTAAAATAAAGTAGAAAACATGAATGGATATAAAGAGTGTCCAGGAGTAATGAAGTATGTCCAATCACAGTGATTTTCACAAAGTAATTTTATCTTCTATTTTTATCCTCCACAAAGTATGCTTATTTTTGTTTCAGTTTTCACTTCTGGTAAGAAAGTTTTCTCCCTGTGATTTCTGGCCATCAGATGAGGTACACCTGCATGGTCCTTAGGTCTTACCCAGGTTTTGTAACACCTTGTCCCTTTCAGGATCATGGAGCTTTCTTAGACATTTTTGGCCTCTGGGCTACTGCATCTAAGTGTTCTCCATCATGGCACCAGATAATTCTGATGTGATATCTCTTAACCATGAGCTACATAGAGAACTTGGATTCTAATCTTCAGAATCAGATTTCATGTGCGATGCCTTTGGTGTAACAACAATCCACCACCAGCAAATGTAAGAAAGCAACAAGCGATTATCCCATCAAGTAAAAATTCCATGTAAATAGCACCTTACAGCTCCCAAACCTGTTTTAGGGTTTCCCCTCAACCTTCCGGAGCAGATTTAGGCAGCAACGCAGGGGCATGTGGGGGGAGGAGGAGAGGGAGGGAAGGTCCTGTTGAGTGAGTGGACCTCATGCCACGCATGCAACAACTTAGCTAAATCCCACCCAACATAAATTAGTGACCATACTAAAACTTTTCATTTATTTATATCCCACCTTTTTCCACAATAGGGACTCAGGATGGTTTACAGAAAAAATACGAACAGCTAAAAACATAGGGAGGAGTCATTAAAAACACTTAAACATGAATAGATTTAAAACACTATTTCTCTTTCCCTCTAAGATCTATTAAAAAGATACAGATAATTACAATAAAAACACCATGGCACCAGCCCTTTCATTAAAAGCAGTCAGTCCTCCCCAAGCAGGTCCTCACCTGCTGGCAAAAGGACAACAAGGAGGGAGATGGTCTACCTTCTCCAGTCAGGGAGTTCCAAAGGCAGATGCTGATGTGCTACCTTGGTAGCTTCCTGTCTGACATCAAAGATCTCAAGGGACCTTCAAAAAATTTAATCATGAACCCTAATAACACAGGTTCCTCATAGCAGATAGGCTTTTAAGTGTGTTCAACATCAAGCCCTTGGAAGTTAAGCCACCAGAAAAGGCTCTTTCATGCTTGCCGGCTGCTGATGACAATTGGACACAGATCAACAGGGCTTTCTTCCTAGCAAGCGCACAAAGGAGTGTAGACAAAATCTCTTCAGCTGCAATTCAAAAATGTCATAATTCTGACGGGGAAGAGGAGCGCACTTCTGGAAGTCTATGTGTTGTTGGGTGGTAGATTGTGACAGCTGATCACCCAGCTGAATCCAAGGAGAAAACAGCTTTCTCTATCCCACAGAATAATTGGCTTTTCCATTGAAACCGTTTCCCTTGAAAACTTCAGTTGAGTGAGCGCCTGCATTAAAAATGTTTAAAGTAGCTCCATCTGCATGTTCACTTCTCCTTCGCCTGTGAGATGTGTGTTGTGCTGCTAGACGTAGTCAGGTAGTTCTTCTTTACCACTTACAATGCCATCATAGAGAACACACTTTGGTAAGACTGTTCTGCCAGGCTTATATGAGCTGGAAAGATGCAGCCAGACTTTTCAAGCTGAACTTTTTATTGTGAAAAGAAAGAAAGAGCAGCTGTTGCTAGTTTAATTCATGGGTAGTTTAATTCATGGGTAGATTCATGGGTAGGTTTCCTTAGCATGTCAGCTTCAACGTGGGTGGTCGTAGCTCCCAAAAAGATTGTGTGTGTGTGTGTGTGTACTATCTGGCAAAACAATAACTGGTTGCAAAGTTCTGGCAGAAGCTGAAGATCTACCTAGATGTGAAGGCTGACTGGTCTGTTGTGATGAGACAGGTATGGTTTTGGTTGCTTGTTAGCGGTCAGTGCTAAAGAACATTCAGTGAATTGTGAGAGAGAACACACATTCTCCGTGCTTCTCCTCTCCTCCTTCCCTGCTCCCTTTACCTCAAAAGGGCACATTGAAAATAAGCACAAATCAACCAGCAATACAAAACGAGAGTCACATGGGCACTTGTATGATCCAGACAATGAGCCTGGGGAATATAGAACTGTGGCACACCAAGGTGCAGAATAGGCTCTGGGGAAGATGCTCAGGGAAGTAACATGTCAAGATGCTCAGGGATTACCATACCTAACTATTCCTCGTTGCAACACATGCTTCAACATAGTTGTCTGCTCTATCCATTTGAAAAGTACCCCTAGGTAGTTCAAGAAACCATCAGATTCCATTTGTCTCTGTGGTTGACCTTCCAGATTGGTCCACTACCCCTGCAAGAGGGGGATCAGTGTCATAAATTCATTGTGATATCCATCACACCTATTTCCAGACATCCCTTCTTTGACCTGGAGCAAGAACCTGCCCTGCCCTGCGTGTTAAGACAGCCCCATGGTCATCATGGAGGTCTGGAAGTCCTGAGGTAGAATACTAAAGGCAGCCTCAACAAGACTTTCCCTTCCTTTGCTCTCTTTGTGTGCTCCACAATCTGTTCTGGGAGGACCCCCAGCCCAACACTGCAGGGGAGAGGAGAAGAGGCGGGAAGGTC